GGTCACTCATTGGTCACTCAGGGTCACCCAATGGTCACTCAGGGTCACTCATTGGTCCCTCATTGGTCACTCACTGGTCACTCATTGGTCACTCACTGGTCACCCATCGGTCACCCAGGGTCACTCACCGCTGCAGCCGCCCCTCCCCCAGCAGGTCGTGCAGCAGGAACGGGACCCCCAGCGCGGCGCCCGGGGGGGCTCGGAGCCGCTGCAGCTCCCGCAGCGGGACCTGGCGGAGCCGCGAGCGCCGCACCAGGGACAGCACGGCCCGGCGGCCTGGGGGGACAGGGGGGGGCACAGGGGGGTCAGGGGTCACACAGGGGTCACCCACACAGGGGGTCCCGGGGGGGTCCCAGAGGGGTCCCGGGGGTCTCTCACCCCACAGCAGCACCTGGTGGCTTAGGGACAGCAGGGTCACTGAGGGGTCACTCAGGGGTCACACAGGGGTCAGGGGCCACACAGGGGGTCCCGGGGGGGTCCCAGAGGGGTCCCGGGGGTCTCTCACCCCACAGCAGCACCTGGTGGCTTAGGGACAGCAGGGTCACTGAGGGGTCACTCAGGGGTCACACAGGGGTCAGGGGCCACACAGGGGGTCCCGGGGGGGTCCCAGAGGGGTCCCGGGGGTCTCTCACCCCACAGCAGCACCTGGTGGCTTAGGGACAGCAGGGTCACTGAGGGGTCACTCAGGGGTCACACAGGGGTCAGGGGCCACACAGGGGGTCCCGGGGGGGTCCCAGAGGGGTCCCGGGGGTCTCTCACCCCACAGCAGCACCTGGTGGCTTAGGGACAGCAGGGTCACTGAGGGGTCACTCAGGGGTCACACAGGGGTCAGGGGCCACACAGGGGGTCCCGGGGGGGTCCCAGAGGGGTCCCGGGGGTCTCTCACCCCACAGCAGCACCTGGTGGCTTAGGGACAGCAGGGTCACTGAGGGGTCACTCAGGGGTCACACAGGGGTCAGGGGCCACACAGGGGGTCCCGGGGGGGTCCCAGAGGGGTCCCGGGGGTCTCTCACCCCACAGCAGCACCTGGTGGCTTAGGGACAGCAGGGTCACTGAGGGGTCACTCAGGGGTCACACAGGGGTCAGGGGCCACACAGGGGGTCCCGGGGGGGTCCCAGAGGGGTCCCGGGGGTCTCTCACCCCACAGCAGCACCTGGTGGCTTAGGGACAGCAGGGTCACTGAGGGGTCACTCAGGGGTCACACAGGGGTCAGGGGCCACACAGGGGGTCCCGGGGGGGTCCCAGAGGGGTCCCGGGGGTCTCTCACCCCACAGCAGCACCTGGTGGCTTAGGGACAGCAGGGTCACTGAGGGGTCACTCAGGGGTCACACAGGGGTCAGGGGCCACACAGGGGGTCCCGGGGGGGTCCCAGAGGGGTCCCGGGGGTCTCTCACCCCACAGCAGCACCTGGTGGCTTAGGGACAGCAGGGTCACTGAGGGGTCACTCAGGGGTCACACAGGGGTCAGGGGCCACACAGGGGGTCCCGGGGGGGTCAGGGGGGGTCCCGGGGGGTCTCTCACCCCACAGCAGCACCTGGTGGCTTAGGGACAGCAGGGTCACTGAGGGGTCACTCAGGGGTCACACAGGGGTCAGGGGCCACACAGGGGGTCCCGGGGGGGTCCCAGAGGGGTCCCGGGGGTCTCTCACCCCACAGCAGCACCTGGTGGCTTAGGGACAGCAGGGTCACTGAAGGGTCACTGAAGGGTCACAGGGAGGGTCACTAAGGGGTCACCCAGGGGTCAGGGGTCTCAGGGGGGTCTCAGGGGGGTCCCGGGGGTCTCTCACCCCGCAGCAGCGCCCGCACGAAGCGCCCCGCCCCCGGCACCGCCAGCCACCAGCTGCCGGCGTCGCGCACGGTGAGCAGCCCCGCGGCCACCAACTGCCTGGGGACACCGGGGGGGGGACACGGGGGGGACACGGGGCTGGCTCAGCCCTGGGACCCCCCCAAATTCACCTCAGGGAGACCCCAGCCCCCCTCAGGGAGCCCCCAGACTCCGCCCAGTGTTCCCAGTGCCATCCCAGTGTCCCCATTCCCCCCCAGTGTCCCCAAACCCATCCCAGTGTCCCCAGGCTGTCCCAGTGTCCCCAGTGTCCCCCCCAGGCTGTCCCCAGTGTCCCCAGGCTGTCCCAGTGTCCCCCCCAGGCTGTCCCAGTGTCCCCAGTGTCCCCAGGCTGTCCCCAGTGTCCCCTGTCCTCATATGATGTTGCTGTCCCCAAAGCCCTTCTCTCCCATCCCCCATGTCCCCTCCAGGCTGTCCCAGTGTCCCCAGTGTCCCCAAGTGTCCTCACGTGATGTCGCTGTTCCCGAAGCCCCTCTGTCCCATCCCCCAGTGCCAGTGTCCCCCATGTCCCCAGTGTCCCCCGTGTCCCCAGTGTCCCCAGGCTGTCCCCAGTGTCCCCAGGCTGTCCCCGTGTCCCCCTGTCCTCACGTGATGTCGCTGTCCCCGAAGCCCCTCTCTCCCATCCCCCTCCTCTCGTAGCCCAGCTCGGGGCTCGCCGCCACCGCGGCCTCCAGGAAGCGCCGGACCAGCGGCTCCCGGGGGGACCCCGCCACGGCCGCCAGCACCTGGGGGGGACACGGGG